TTATAAGGATGAAGAAATAGAATACCTGTAAAAGAAAAGAAAAAATTAATGAATGTCATTATAATGAAAAATAACGAAACAAATATATGCAGGTGACCGGTTACACAAGTTTTGTAGATCGGTTACAATTGCCTTTATATCGAAATGGTTTTCGATCTACAACTTTTGTCGTTATCATTTATCGTTATATGAATGATAATAAATTCAATAATAAAGTTTCATTGTAATATGTATATTGTACGTTAACGAATTGATCCAATCAAGTTTTTACGTATTAATGACGGTCTGTAAACTATAAATAATAAACATGATGTCCGGAAAAATCTTTAATTATTTATCAATATCGATATTACCATTATTATTCATTTTTGAAGTTGCTTTCCTATTTCCGAAAGGATTAGCTACTACGCAGTTTCCCTTTCTCCAAATTTCTTCACATATCATTAAAGACAAAGTTAATGTTAGATTTTCACCAAAATCCTGGGAGGTTTGTGTCTAATTAGCTTACATTAGGAATTTTTATTCATATGGAATTGTCTACATGTTTATTCAATTCTTTATACAGCTTTTGGGTCCGTTCCCGACTGGAACACGTGAACAAGATTTTGGTGCAGATCCTTTGGAAGCTTATGGTAATCATGTATTGCACTTCAATTAACAATTTTCTTATGTTGAGTCTTACGCATTTATATAATCAATGTATCCATTACTACTTTGACAAAGGTGGCTTTAGAAATTTGAATTTTTCTGATACTAAATCATTCCTTTCTGAGTTGGCAGATAATGGGACGGTAAAATGGTCAACTATTGTGGAAAATATTGACGGTTCGGTTGGTCCTATACATTTTAAAAATTTGAGGTAATCTAATAAGACATTGATAAATTACACCACTGGTGTTTAACACTACAGTTATTATATTTCAAAAACTGAGTAATTAAAGTTAGTTATTCTAACTAAAAAATGTTATGAACTCCTAAGAACTAAATTTAATCTATTATGTCTTAGCCTATAAGCGCATCCTAACTCCGAATTTTTATAGTAAAATTAATATATGGTGTTAAACACCATATTATTCTCCCACCATATAATAGATATTCACTAATAAATGATTTTAATTATTAATAGATGGAGATTTAATAGAGATCCATTTGGCTGGGCAATAAATCAGTTCCAAATGTGGGCAAGAGGTTATTTTGAGCTTTTAGATTCTGATCTTAAAGATGAATCGGATTCTATTCCAGTTTTAGTTCAGTGTCAAAACATTGGTGATTTTTATGTGGATGATCGAAGGCTCTTTGGTGATGTGTATGGATACAAGAATTCATGGCATGTTCTATATCTTCATCCTGGTATGCACGTTATTAACGTTCGTCTGGTGAATGAAATTCGGATCTTTGGTGGGAGAATTCCTCCAGATATTCGGTTCCAATGTTTTATCAGAAAATTGGAATTGCAACAAATTGGTGCGATGGTGTTGGATCACACTATAATTGTTCCTGATTTGGTGGACGGTTTTTTGGCTGGAAAATTTGCCAGCGTTGCAATCTTGAATACTCAAGAAAAATCTTGGATCACTGTCTCCAATGTTAATGTGATAAATAGCAATGTTAACGTACGTTCTCAATTTATTACATTCTCAATTTAGGCCACAGCTATTTTACTTGTTTAACAATTGATGTTTACTAATAGATGACCGCATCATTGGCCTGCGGCCAAACTTTTAATTCAAAAACCGGCATTCGTATTGCTCCATCTCAACAGCGAAACATCAAAATATATCTAAGCATTGAGTCACAAGTACACAATGGGATGCCATTATCATTTCAATTACAATTTCTGATCTCTTCTCGAACAGAAGGCAAAATTATTTTTTGGACTAAAGTCACAGATATTATTTCAATACATAACAAGCATTTTGGTGATGCATACAAATTCACATTCGAGGATTTTGACACCACTGTGCAATATGGTAGTTTTTTTTTTATTTACGAATCTGCATAAAATTCTCTTTCAAGTGATCATGAAGATAATTACTGTTAATTGTTCTGTTTTTAAACTAAGCAATGGCAATCCCTCCTTCGAAACTATGCCAACCTTATAGGTGTCCTATTTTAGTTGCTTTGCATGGTGCAGGAGTTGAAGCTAATTCAGAATTTTGGATAACTGCCTACAAAAGACAACAAAATGCATGGGTACGTATTTTATAGTGTTGAAAAAGTAAATTATTTACTTGTTCTCCTGTGATATTTCCTATGATTGATTGCTATTTATTATTGCGTAAAGGTTCTTTTGCCTACTGGAAGAACACCATGGGGATATGATTGGCATGGTCCTAGCTTAAAGAATACTCAAACAGCAATAATAGCATTGGAAAAATTCTTGCCAGGTGTACAAAAACGTTTAAAACCATTTTTATTGCCAGATTCTGACAGACTATTCATCTCTGGTTAGTTGATTTTACACACACTTATAATATATATATAGATATATATATTATATATATATTCCTAACATATATGCTATTTACCTTTAAACATCAAAGGTCATTCCAATGGTGGTCAAGGCGCATGGTTCTTTATGTCTCACTTTCCAGATTCTGTGATTGCAGGTATGTTTCAACAATAAGAATTTTCAAGTTCTAAAAATTTTTAGTGGATTTGATGTTATTTAATAATTTGTGTAGGCACTCCGGCTGCAGCATATACTAAAATTCAGAGATATGTACCATATTATTGGAATAGTGAATCTCATTTAGACCCTATCCTTAAAGGAGTACGTTCCAAAACTATTAATTTGTCATTGTGGCAGGACTCATATTTGGTTATTTAAATTTTTTGAATTTTATGTAAAAAGATCCTTGAATCATCAATTGCTGAATATAATAACGATTTGTATACTGCAAATTTGGCAAGTATTGTGTATTTTATTAGGATAATTTATGTAGAACATACAGTATCGATATGCCAACACATTTTATTTGATATTGTTATAGGTTGGCATTCCAATATTAGCAAGAGCTGGCTCAGATGATGATAACGTTCCACCTCTACATTCTCGTATGCTTGTCCGTCTTGTTAACGAACATTCTGGCAATCCACAAGCCATCAAGTAAATCAATATCTATTTGTTACTTTGATTGTGATTAATATATTTTAATATTTTTTTTTTCAAACATAGACTTTCTGAAATACCTGGCAAAGGACATTGGTTTGATAAAGTTATGAGTGATGATTTGATGCAAGAATTCTTGGATGAACATTTGAAGTTTAATCATTTAAATCAAAGTGATTCATGTCCAAAAGAATTTACTATAATCTTATTGAACCCTGCAAGTTTTGGTAGTAAATGTGGAATTCAGGTTGAACAATTGGGAATTCCATTCAGGTAATTAAAATATTATTAATAATTGATTATATAATTTTGAATTATCATTTTATACTTTTATCATTTTATTTATTTATTTATTTATTTATTTTATTTTTATTTTTTAGATTAGGTAAACTTCATGTACGAATTGAAAAGTATCCCCATGGTCGAACAGCATGGCATATCAAAACCTCCAATATTCGCAAATTTAAATTTGTAAATAGCATAAAATTTCAGGCTGAACATTTAAATGTGGAACAAATTATAATTGATGGAAAACAATTTGACTCTAGTCATTTTTTATTGAATGGGCACTTTCTACAAAATAAAAATAAATGGAAGGTAATATGTAATTCGAATTTTTTTTCTAATTTGTTCAAATAATAATTCATTATTTACTTATCTTTTTTTTTTTATTTTACTCTATTTAATTTAATAGTTTTGTAATTATCATAATAATGACCATTTCTGGTACTATAAGGAAAAACATCCAGCAACTTATGGCCCCGCAATAACAATCCTTGAATCTATACAACCACTAAAAATAGTTATCGGAACAATTAAAAAGGATAACTTTAATAAATTTTTTGAGATTGCTCAAGAAATTGCACACAGTTGGTACCTTTATGGTAGGGGAGACGCCGAAATTTTGTTGGATTCAGAGTTTTTAAGAAAAAATCAATTGATGGATAAAGGAAATTTGATTTTATTGGGTGGTTCATATGAAAATTATGTAACAACCTTTTTATTAAAAACCCGATTTAGTGAAGGTAAGGATGAATTTAATTTATAATTTTTTTTTTAGTTTACAAATCTATTTCTTAACATATATTTCGGATTTCTGCTTTTAGTGAAATTTAACAAGGATGGTTCGTTTAGTCTGAAACATAAAACATTTTTCGATTCTGGATGTGGTATGTATTTGTATCGTTATTTTTCATTATAATGACATTCATTAATTTTTTCTTTTCTTTTACAGGTATTCTATTTCTTCATCCTTATAA